ACCATTGAAATCTGGCCAGGCCAATGTGGCTGGGTGAGCTCCGAGCTGCTTCCCCATGACCAAAGCTGCTTCCCCACGTCCAAAGCAGTTCTATGGCCTCAGTCTTCCAAAAAACAAAAGAATGGTTCTGCTTGATGAGGGCAAGGATTTATCCTCCATCAGTATCCAAAAAGAACTTGAAAGAATGGAGAAGGTGAAGAGTCCCAGAAATTATTTTTATGCCTAGAAATGCTCCTGATCCTCTCAAGGTTGGCAAAAATGAAGACGGAAGTGATGTTTTCTGAATGTGTAAGTGCCTTCACATAATGTACCCCATGCCAAAAAGTGAGTGAGTTTAAGCATTGAGATATGTGGAGGGCTGGAGCTCACCCCAGCCAAACCGGAATGGAAAAGAAGATCCCTGTTTGAACTCTCAAGGTACTTTGAAACAGGCTCTTCAAGGAAATGGTCATGCTCTACCACTCAATATCTGCAGATCCTGCAGGGCGCCTGGCTCAAGGTGAATGGTCACATCCTGACTGGGAAGCTGATGTAAGCTTTCGGGACACTGCTTGGTGTCCCTGTGCCAACACTGGTGCCTGGTGACGCACTGAGGGTCCCAGGTGGTGGCCGGACAAGCCAAGGAGCATCCCCACCCTGCCGGTGCTCATGGCCCCTACATCTCTACAGGAATGGGCTCCTGCAGGATGAATCCTGCTAATGACGAGGACCCACTAAACTTCTGAGGTTCAAAGGCACAGTCCTGGGAACCCCAAAGCAGCTCACGTTGGCAGAGGGCTGAGCTCCCGACACGACTCCTCCAGGGCCAGAGCAGCACCATTGTCCCCCTCGTCCGGGGGGGAGGGTTCCCACATGCTTTCCTCATCCGTGCTTCCAGGGCAGCAGCCATGGGAAGAGGAGGGTGCTGGACATGGGGGCATTGGCTGGGGGCATGGCCAGTTTGCAAACAGCCCCTGTGTCTACAGCCTGGACCTGGGATGCATTTGTGGAGTTCGAAGGGTGGTTTACACCCAACAGGCCCCAGCTGCTCGGGGCTGTTCAAAGCAGGGCAAACCTGCCAAGGAAGCTGACATAGCATGGGGGTCCATCATCAGCCCTCTCTGGTTTCTTCTTGGGAGTGAGGGGATCGGGCTGCAGGGCTGCACGGTGGTGAGGACGTGGTGCCTCTGGCGCTGTGCATCATAGGGAGCAGCCCAGGAAGATAGGCTGCTAAGCCCTTGCCAAATCTTGACATCTCTACTCATGGAGGAGTCTGAGACTGCAGGATGGGAACTCCCCATCACCCAGTGGACACACCGGGGCACACCAGGTCCCTCCAGTCCCAGTCTTTTCACAGTGAAAGCATGGAGGGGGCAAAGTGAGTGAACTTCTTCCCTTTGGTTACAGGGTTTTTCCTGCACCAGCCTCTCTGCCCTCCCCAGTGCCATGGGGCAGGGCTTAAAGTGGTCTTGGCTGCACTTTGGGTTTGTCAAAACTTCAGGCGATGGGCTGGAGCTGTCCCCAGGCACCCTGGGGTGGTCTAGGAGGTGAGCATAGGAGAGGAGAGGAACAGGCAGCAAAGGACATGCAAATGATGGATCGTGGAATTGGGACAAGTTCCTCTTCACTGCTGCTCCAGCCAGGCCCAGA